TTCCTTTTCATTTTATTTATCTTAATGAATCAATTTATTTTATCAATGCGTACTGGAAATACATATTGATAAGTTTAAAAGTAAAGAAATACAAATCAGAAAAGGAAGGACTTAAATTCTGGTTGCATTATTTATTATTGAAGTAATCTTGGCAACTAATTCATTGCTTCTGGCTTCAGCCATCTCATTTTGTAAAGTGGGATAAAAGCTCTTACGGTCAGGGATTTTGTGAGTACGAAGTAGATACTATATGCAAAGTGTAGTACTGGGCACTGATTAGCAGTTCCTAATAATATTATCAAGTGTGTAAGACTTTGTGTTAGGATTCAAACATGAATGAGCCAGACCCCCCTCAGGATGTTTACAAATTAGTTCTGGCAAAGAAAACATTAATTCAAATAATTATACTGCAAAGAAAGTATCAATAGCATCACCAAGGCACAAGAAAAGACTAGGTTCCTGTTTTAAAATATAAATCTTATTATTTTTCAGGCCAACAGATCAGGAGATGACTGCCATTGAAAAGACTGTAATACTCACAGATCCCTGTGGCATCACAGAGGGTGGGGGCAGAAGGCAAGAATGAGATGTTAGGAGGAGGATGGAGTGGGGGGTGAGGGGTGGGCAAGTCTTTACTGTGTTTTCTTTTTGGAAAGGATGGATGAGACAGAGTAAGCAGGTTTAGGATTAGCTAGTTTGAATAATTTTTTTGGTTTTGAGGTGTAGGGGCTGTCTCTTCTTGTCTGGTACCTGGCCCTGGGTGATTAGGGTAGGGGTGTAATGGCCCAGAGTATGAGTTCCATAGAGGAGGTAGTTGGCTATATGGCCTCAGGTTGGTTGGTTTGCATATGAAAGGGGCACCTCCAAATGAATTATTTGCTATCTTTAGGAATTAGCTGCCCTAGGAGGGGCAGTACCTCCAAGGTCAGCAAGCCTCCAAGATCTCAAAGCATCAGAAATATGGAACAAAAAGATCTGATGAATGCAGTGGCTGTGAACTTACGAAGCAGAGAAGTAGCCAAGTCCAAGTCTCTTTTCAAGTCTGACTATACCTGAGAGGAGATTTTACATGTTCTTGGAGAGAAGATTTTACATGTTCTTGGATCAGTCAGAGATTTGGTTGTGGAAATCCTTTTTGAGCAAGATAATGAGGAGAAAATGTTGCCACTTTGATACTGGATTCCGTTATACAGTGCCCAATTGACACAAGAAAGCAACTAGCAGAGATTCTTGTAGCCATAGGTGGCACATCTGTGTTGCCAGGATTTCTCCACAGATTGCTTTCAGAAATAAGATATTTGATAAAAAAACCAAAATAGAAAAAAGTACTTGGCACCAAGACATTCCGAATTCATACTCCACCTGCAAAGGCTAAATGAGTGGCCTGGTTGGGAGGAGCTATTTTTGGAGCACTGCAGGACATACTTGGGAGGTGCTCAGTCTCAAAGGAATATTATAATCAGACAGGCCGTATACCTGATTGGTGTTCTCTTAATAACCCACCTTTGGAAATGATGTTTGATGTCGGGAAAGCACAGCCGCCACTGATGAAGAGAGCATTTTCCGCTGAGAAATAAAAATCTGATTGAAATTCAACTTTGCTTTTTATCAAATATCTAATCAATTACAAGAAAATTGTATAAAGTATATAGGATGCTGTTAGAGATGACTTTATTTGGAAGTGAAAGCATTTCTGTAGTTATTCTTTTATACAAAAGAGTCCAAGTCTCTTTTCAAGTCTGACTATACCCCCCAGTCCACTTGTTCCCTATCACAGCACCCTATTTGCTTCTTACTATTTACTGCTTGTTCTTTGCTTTGCTTACCTGTTCATTCGCTGTCTATCCCATTACACTGACACTTCCAGGAGGACAATAAATTTGCTTGTCTGGCTTACTGCTCCAGTTCTGGTTCCTGACACACAGAGGATGATCAATAAACATTTGTTGAACAAGTGAGTGAAAACAGTCATGGGTATGTGTGCACATAGGCACATATGACTGTTCATGCATGTGTAAGATTGGGGGTATTTGTGTTGGTGAATGGGTGTGTGTGTGTGTGTTACATGAAGCAGGTTCTAGCCCTCCATCTAAGCCATGTCTGCTCCTAGGTTTCAGCCAATGCTGAATATCTGGCAGATTATTCAATAGGCGCATCTGCACTAGCACTCAGGTCTTCCTGGAGAAGACATGCTATCAGGCCAGCAGGCAAGCTCAAGACAGTGCCAGACACCTCAGAGGTTGGAAAGGAGGAGCATCTTTGTGTATAATGCTATATTTCTCTTGGAGGAGTCTTGGCCCTGTTACTCGTGAACTTATAACTTATCACTTGTGTGAGAGACACCTCTTTAAAAACTGAAAGATCTATTTAAAAAAAAACTCTATAATATTTTAGAATGCTGTATTAGATTCTAACCAGAAAATCAAAGCCATACCAGTTGATCAAAGAGGAAGAATAATTTAACTTGGAGAATAATTTACAAGGTGCTAGAAATGCAATTAGAGTAAGAAGCAGGGAGGTGAGTCAATCCAGATATTAGAAAATGCTGGAAACTGCTGCTGCTCTTTGGCCAGGAGTCAGAGAGTAAAGAGCTAGGGCCAGGAGCTGGGACTATGCCATAGAAGCCAAAAAAATGGTGGGTTGGCCTGGGTTGGGTGGACCCACAGACACAGGGCCTTTTTAGAAGGAGCTGGAGTCATAGAGAAGATGGAATCACTGGTCAAGATATTTCCTAAAGCAGGCAAAGGGAGAAATAGCCTGGCTTCTCCCATTCTCTCCCTCTGAATCTTCTATCAGTGCCCTCCATCAGCTGAATCTAACCAGACAGTGGGCACAGGAAGCTTGGAAACCACAGTTTGGAAACCAGCTTCTTCTGGGAGAGAGCAGAGGAGAGGATGTACAGGGAAAGGATATGAAAGGAAACTGGCAAATGGCAAGTACAGATGAGGGCAGTGCTGGTTAGTATCCCATAAAGATGGGACTTTATGGGATACTAACCAGTAAAGTCCCATCTTTATGGGATACTAACCAGTATCCCTTGGATTTAATCCCCAGACTCTTGGATTTAAAAAGTTTAATTCAAGAGTCACAACATAAAAACTTAAATTTTTTTTTATTTTATTTTAAGCAGGCTCCAATCCCAACATGGGACTCGAATTCATGACTTCGAATTCAAGAGTCACATGCTCTAACCACTGAGCAAGCCAGATGCCCCTCAACATACAAATAAAGGCTGACATCAACTCATCACCACTTTACCACACAACTTTGGCCTTTTGAATGTTTTGGCAGATCAATATCCTTGGCTAGGTATTAATACCTAAGGGAAATGGAAGCAACTTCTGGCAGAGACAGCCGGTAGAAGTGAAAGGAGAAAATTAGCATGGTGATAGTTCATAATCTCCTTCATGCAGTTTATAAAGTAACATAAAAATAAAGAAGTGGCAGTCACAACTCCGTACTTTATAAGAATGATTAACAGGTAACACTGTATTAATCTTATTTTGGCAGTTAAATTCTCTGTTTGCATAATTTTACTAAATGCTGACAATGCCACACCCTCAAGCAGAGCCCCAGCTCCTGGCCCTGCACTGCACCATAGGGGGCTCATGTGTCCGCGTATCTTCCTCAGAATGTTTTGTGTCCCTCCCTCATGGTGGCGATGGCTGAGGCCAGCAGTGCTGTTGGACCTGAGGCTGGCACCTATCTGCATCCTGATTTCTGTTGTTCTCTGTCAGGGTTCTTTCTTTCCCTCTTTCTTGCATAGGAGGCCCCAAAAGTCTCAAGGAATTCCAGGGCTCGTACTTCCATGTAGGGATGTCCTGGAGCTCCCTGGTTGAGTTTCCAGGGGAGGCAGCCTTGCAAGCATATTGCTCCTGTGGCTGGCACAGTATTTCTTTTGTGTGATTGTGTGGGATTGCCGGAATGGTTCTGAAATGCATGTTTTGGTGACCAAAATTATTTATGTGGACAAGGTTTTACAAGTTGTTTCCTTTTTGGACCCTCAGGGTCACACCAATCCTATAGATTTAAAAAGTTTAATCCAAGAGTACATATTGAATCCTAGGCTTTTACAAAGGCATTTTGATTTTTAGATCCTATTTTTAAATTACTGTTTTTTTTAAACTTTTATTTACTTATGATAGTCACAGAGAGAGAGAGAGAGAGAGAGAGAGAGGGGCGCAGAGACACAGGCAGAGGGAGAAGCAGGCTCCATGCACCGGGAGCCCGACGCGGGACTCGATCCTGGGTCTCCAGGATCGCGCCCTGGGCCAAAGGCAGGCGCCAAACCGCTGCGCCACCCAGGGATCCCTTTAGATCCTATTTTTAGATCCTATAGCCTATTATTCTATATGAGGACAGAGAAGGCATACTGTAGGGATTCGCAAAATAACTGGGAGATGCTAGAAAAGAGGTCTTAAAGTATGTCAGTGGGGATGGGGTCGGTGGAGGTAAATTCTAGAAAAAGATAGCACTAAAGGCAATGAAGCTGAGTCTGTATATACTACAGCTGATAGAATCTCCTAATTGCTTCCACGACTAGGTACTTACCAAGTAATGTGATTCTGCAAACTTTAAATGAATAGAAAGCTGAAGGAAAACAGAACCTTTGCTCCTTTTAATCCCAATATAAAACTTCCCCTTCTTTCAATATCCTTTTAAGAGAAGGACTGTTAGAGCTATCTGCTCTCACTGGCATCCCTGTGCAAGGTAGGGCTTTTATGAGAGGTCTTTAAGAATGCTTCAAGATAGGGCTTTGTTTGCTGTGGGAACATGAGGGGAAGTGGAAGAAACTCCAATGTGGTTAGTGAGAAAACATGACCTTCATGGTGAATTAAGTGGTAGTGACTGAAATTTAGGTCATTACTAGTATGTAAATGTGTGCAAGTGCAGAAAGCAGCTGTCACACTTTGTACGTAAGTGGAACCACTAGCTCTGTGGATTCACTGCATTTTGCAGTTCAATTTTAAACTCCAAGTAAACATCACAGAAAACCTGACATGAAGTTGGTAACTGTGTTTCTGCTGGTGACCATTAGCATTTGCACTTACTCTGATAAGTAGCCTGAACATACATTTCTCTACTTTTCTGTTAATAGGAATGTAATCAGTAAGTGTAGGCTCCCAGGGGAAGACAGCAAAAGGGGTTTTAGAACCATAGAATTGGGGGTTTGGAAGGGATCTCAGATGCAGCCACCACTTACCCCCAACTCCAGCCTACCAAACTCTAACCCAATAGAAGTACTATCCTTAGTGAATCCTACATTAAGAAAGTAGCCAACTCATGCTAAAGGTCAACATTCTGGAACATTGTCACCATAGTTTTTCTTGTCTTTATTAATCTTGAGTCAAAATCTCACTTTGTAACTTTTTTCTTTTGAAACTATATGGAGTCATTCTTTCTATCATCTGTAATCAGTTGCCAGGTGGTTTTTCCTGAGACACAGCTACATTTATCTATTCATGCAGTCAGTGGATATTTACTGAATGGCTGCAACCTTTGGGCACTTGGATAAGCACTGGAAGATTTAGACATGAATCAGACACAATGGTTGTTTACAAGGTTCTTGTCTGACAGGAGAGATAAGACTTCTTCAGACAGAAGTCACTATGATGCTAGACTAATAAGCAGAGACATAGGCATATAGAGCTCTGTGGGAGGACTGAGGGGAGAACAGTTCAATTTCTAGGTGACATATGGAAGTTGGATTCTTGGAGAAGAATGGGAACTGATCCATTCTTTTTGAATGGAGTCATTTTAACTACAGGAAGATGTATTTGGATGCATCTGCAAAATGCTCTGTGATGGCCACTGCTCAAAGAACAGAAAGCCTTGAGGGTAGTATATAAGTATACATAGAGAAGTATATATGTATACATAGAGAAGATATTCACCAAAACCTTTGAAATAAGTAGAGAGATCAAAAACGAGAAACTTGGTGCTGTCCACACCCACATTGGCAACTTTGGCTTGCACTTTTTCTGTAATTTTGGACCCATTTGTAACTTCACCAGTTTTGGCTATTTTGTTGCCCTTAATGGCTAATGGCATTTGTTTACAGACAGAGGTGACAAAAGAAAAGTGGGTAGAGGGCAGCCCCGGTGGCTCAGCGGTTTAGCGCCGCCTACGGCCGGGGACGTGATCTTGGAGACTGGGGATGGAGTCCCACATCGGGCTCCCTGCATGGAGCCTGCTTCTCCCTCTGCCTGTGTCTCTACCTCTCTCTCTTTCTCTCTCCTCTCTGTGTATTCTCATGAATAAATAAATAAAATCTTTTAAAAAAAGTGGGTGGAAGGAAGTAAATATCCCTTCTCTGGGAAACAATTTAGAAGGGAAAAGAGATGGTAAAAGATGAAGGGAAGATAGATGCATAGACTCCACTTGTACTATTTGAATGGGGAATGAAAAGGATCCCAAAGGAAAATGAACTATGGCAGGTTCTTACTCTGAAGATATGTGTTCTTATGTGTGTGCTCATGCATGTGTGTTTACATATCTGCACATGCATCTTGTAAAAATGTATGTTGTATGTATTTTTCTCATTATCTACACTTTCCCTCCCATCTTCTATATGAAATTTATCTTTCTAAAGCCAAAGATACAAAATGCAATTGTCCCATAATAGAGCCTTGATACCTCCCCATTGCCCTTGGGAAAAAAGTCGGAAACTCATTAGTATGGCATTCAAAGCTCTGAAAAATCTGACCTCATCTGGGTTTTGCTGCCTTACCTCCTTCCTTCACCTATGCGTACGTCACTGGAATTCTGCACTCCAGCTGCTCTAGAAGGCTCACCAGGCAGTGTGGCCACTTTCATTTTCACATTTCAATACCTACGTTAATTTTGTTCCTTTTTAAAATGTACCTCCCCTACTTTACCTTGTGACCCTGGAATCTACCTCAAGACACAGCTCCGGGAACATCTCCCTGGGAAAATTACTCCAACACTCTACCACATTAGAATTAGTCATCCCATTTCTTATGCTTCCATAGAGCTTTATCCACACTGTTGGCACAGCAAATTCCACACTGTGGCATACATAGATCTTTATTGTCCACTAGACTGTGTAAGTTCCCTGAGTGGAATATCCTAGTCTTATTCATTTACATATCTGCACTAACCATGACAGAGTTGGTGTTTAGTTATGTTTGCAGCATTGAGTTGAAGTGTTTGGGAGCAGTTTCCTGGGCTGTGGTTGGTTGGGTTCATGTATGTCCTCAAGTGAAGATTCATTATAGAATCTCCTCAAAGTCGTGAACTGTGGAGATAGCCATATGCAAAGTGCATACCTATTCAGTCAACCACCAGGATCTTCTGAGTGCTTACTGCATGCCAGAGGCTGTTCTAGGTATGAGGTACAATAGTAAATAAAATATAAACTCCTTGTTGTCATTGAGCCTGCATATAGTGAGAGTCTGAAGGGAAGAAATAAATGAGATTTACTATTTTAGGTAATGCTAAAAAAAAAAAGGTACCTTATGAGGAGGTAACATTTGAGGAGAGATAACATTTCTGGAGAAAGAAAGTTCTAAGGAGACAGAACAGCAGATCCAAAGGCCCTGAGGGAGAATTTTCATGGGAAATCAAGTGAGGCTAGAATGGAGCCATTGATGGACACAGTGGAAAGTAGCGCTGTCATAGACAGGAGTTGACTGTGCCTATTTCACTCAGTTTCCATTTTGCTCTGCAGCTACTGCCTTCCTTTCCAACAGTTTGCCAGATGCTGTCAACAAAGCCTTACCTTTAGCTGTGGACAACATTCTCCCCTTTGTGGATCTGTTAAAGCTTCTTCTGAAAACTCTGGGCATTTCTGTTGAGCACCTGTGGAAGGGCTAAGAAAGTGTGTAAATGAGCTGGGACCAGAGGCCGCTGAGGTAGTGAAGAAACTACTGGTTCCTATAGGTTGTGGGCTTATTTGTCAATGAGTAGGGCTTAATCACCTGATCTCCCACCCTCCCCTCCACACTCCCACCAACGCTTTCTCACCTGTGGACATGTAATTCCATCTTACTGAATGTACTTGTACAAAGTTTGCATGTCCAGGAATCTCAAGGAAGGTGCAACATCTACATTTCTAGAAGGGAGTTTTGAATGAAAGAAACCTATATTCTTATTGTGACTTTGCATTTCTCAGCTTAGTGATGCTAGTTGGGACTTGACCACTCTAGGCCTCCATTTCCACATGAGTAAAATGGTGGCTAAATAGGTTGGTGACTATTTTTGGAAACATGCTAAGTACATGTAAGCCACTTTATTTTTATTCTTGTCCTTCTGCCTTTCAAGAGGCCTAGTTGCATTTGGTGTGATGACAGCACAAAACAGCAGTGGCGGGGTAGGGGAATGGTGCTCTTCTCCTCCAAGGCTGGAACTCATTCCATCCTAAAATCTAGTGACCCCTGAAAAGAATGAATAAAGCAATGAATAGATTAATAATAAACACAGGTGTTTATTTCTGGGAGCTCTATTCAGAAGAGCCTAACTAGATAATTTTTCCCTTGGATCATAAACTCCAGAGGGCCTCTTGTTACCAAGAGAATCTGCATAAGACATCATCATGTCTTATTACTCTCTGGTTGACTCTAAAGAAAACATCTTCATTTTCTTCAACTGCTCTTTGACAATGTTTCTGTATCCCTGAAGCTCCTATTCCCTTTCTTCTAAGGAAGCTTTTAAATATAAAAATGAAAAGAGTTTTCAAAATATTATCTGACAAGATAGAGGTCTTTTACTGGTTTGGCATCTACATCACCAGAGTACAAGTTTCTGTTAAATTTGTGGTTATACTATGACCACTCCATAACTTTCACAGACCTTGCCACCAAGTTAGGCCTTCACTACATCATTCCTTTGGCAACTAGGTTCTGAACTATCCTTTCCTTTTCCCCTTGCCTCCATCTGTGACGATGCCAGAATTATCTTTCCAAGATATAAATCTGGTGATACACAATCACCTATAAAATAGATGTCAAGCTCCTTAGCATGGCATACAAGGCTCTTCATGACCTGGCCTTTGCTTATATGTGTAGCCTCATCAACCTTTCTTTCTTTCTTTCTTTCTTTCTTTCTTTCTTTCTTTCTCTTTCTCTCTTTTCTTTCTTTTTCTTTCTTTCTTTCTTTCTCTTTCTCTCTTTTCTTTCTTTTTCTTTCTTTCTTTTCTTTCTTTCTTCTCTATTTCTTTCTTTATTTTCCTTCCTTCCTTCCTTCCTTCCTTCCTTCCTTCCCTTGCTCCCTCCCTCCTTCCTTTTCATTCTTTTAATATTTCTTTCTTGACATGTGCTGTAACCCTAGTCACACTGAGAAAATAACTAAATCTCTTTGCTGCTAACACTTTAAAGCCTTAATGAAAAATCCAATTTCTTCCCACCAAGAATGTCTGCCCTGGTCTGCCAGTCTTGGGACTATTTGCCCTTAGATCCATTTCCCATCCCTTTCTTGCTTGACTTTGTGATGCTAACCCCTCAGGTCCCGTGTCTCAGGTTCCCAGATCAGTTAACCTTTGGGCTGCATTCTGAGCCGGGGCTGCTCAGGCAGGAGATAGGAGATGTGAAATGGGAAAAGCCAGAGTACAGCCTTTTCTCCCTCTCTACTTGGGAGAAGTCTCTGGAATACCACATCTGAGGCACCTCGTCCTGCTGGATAGTCTGCACTGGTTCCAGCTTTTCCTGGGTAATTGCAGTCCCTGGCTCTGGTTATACCACCTCTTTTCTTTTTTTCTTCAGCTGAAGTTGGTGGTGGTTTCCTGCTTTATCCACTTCCAGATTGCCTCACCATCCTCTCTTTGACTCTCAATTCTGTGTCTTATAGTCTCTCTGTTTCAAGTATTAAAGTCATTTCTGTTTTCTGGTTGGTTCTTAATTAATATAATGTTAACTGTCATCTCTATGAGGATTATCTTGATTTCCTATTTCTTGACTTCCATGTTTTTTTAGCAACTAAAATCATTGCATTTCAGGAAACTTCCTATTTTCCTTTTTTATTTTACCCCTATCTGTAAGAACAGACCATTATTTACAGTAATAAATAACTCCAAATCTCAGAGGCTTATATTCACAACATTTCAATTTGTTCCCACACTATTTAGTTATCATAAATTAGTTAGATAGAGCTCTCTCCATTTGTTTGAATTCTGTGACCTGGAACTGATGGAACAATCTTTATCTTGAGCATCTCTGATTATCATGGCATATAGAAAAAGAAAAGTTAGTGAGTCATGGTCTAACTTTTTTTAAAAAAGATTTTTATTTATTTATTCATGAGAAATATATAGAGAGAGGCAGAGACACAGGCAGAGGGAGAAGCAGGCTCTATGCAGGGAACCCGACGTGGGACTCTACCCCGGGTCTCCAGAATCACACCCTGGGCCAGGGGCAGGCATTTAACCACTGAGCCACCCAGGCATTCATGGGCTAACTTTTAAAGCTTCCCCATGAAAGCAATGTACGTTACTTCTAGTCCTGCGTCATTGGCCAAACCATGGCACATGACTATACTTTTTTTTTTAATTTTTTATTCATTTATGATAGTCACACAGAGAGAGAGAGAGAGAGAGAGGTGCAGAGACCCAGGCAGAGGGAGAAGCAGGCTCCATGCACCGGGAGCCCGACGTGGGATTCGATCCCGGGTCTCCAGGATCGCACCCTGGGCCAAAGGCAGGCGCCAAACTGCTGCACCACCCAGGGATCCCACATGACTATACTTGACTCAAGAAACATAATGTAATTTCCCACATTACTTGACCACTTCAGAGTAACTGCAACCTGAGATAACACTTTTTGTTTGAAATTTCGTGCTGTTGGGTATCTTTCATCCCACTACTAGTGTTCTTATTTAACCATTATTTTTGTTTTCTTTAAATGACTCTTATTATCCTGATTTCCTCTAAATATTGATTCCTCTTCTCCTTTTGCTTTCTATATGGCTTTCATTATGTGTGTGTGTGTGTGTGTGGGGGGGGTGTCTCATGTATTCCCATGGCTGACTATATAATCTCCATGTTAGGAACTCTAAAATCTATAGCTACAGTCTATTGCTTTTTTGAGGAAAAGAGATTGTTACCTATAAGATGCCTCCAATAGAGGCTCTTTTTTTGTGTTTAACTGAACTCACCTCCTCCTTAACTCATTACCTTTCTTTCAAAATATGTTTACTTGTTCTAATTTCCTATCTCAGTATATATAGCACAACCATTTCCTGGATAGCTTAAGTCAAAAACTTGGCAATCATTCTTAATATGCCTTCTTCTCAGCTGTACTTTCTAATCCATAAGAAAGTCCTGTTTATTGTAAGCCTTTTCCATATCTGTCTATACATTTTTAAAAAGATTTTATTTATTTGTTATGAGAGACACACAAAGAGAGGCAGAGACACAGGCAGAGGGAGAAGCAGGCTCCTTGTAGGAAGCCCAGTGCGGAACCCGATCCCCAGACCCAGGATCATGACCTGAGCCAAAGGCAGATGCTCAACCACTGAGCTACCGAGGAATCCCCGGTCTATATATTTTTCATTATTGCTTCTGTTACTGCTCTTCCCCAAAGCTTGTCATTTCTCACTGATAAAACTGAATCACTCATAATTGCTGGTAAGAATGCAAAATAGTATAGCCACTCTGGGAAAAGAATTTTACAGTTTCTTGAAAAACTACATGCACCTATCCTGTGACTCAGTAATATACTCCTGGGCATTTATGGGGAGAAATGAAACATGTATGCAAAAACCCATACACAAATGTTCACAAAAATTTTGTTTCTAGTAGCCAAAACCTGAAAACAATCCCATTGCCCTTCAGTGGATGAATTGTTAAATAAACCGTTACACATCGGTAGGATAGAATATTACTAGCAAGAAAAGAATGAACTATTGATACACACAACAAGCTGGAATGATCTTCAGGGAATTATGCTAAGTGAATAAAAGCCAATCCTAAAAATTTAAATACCATGTAATTCCATTTACATAACATTCTCAAAATGACGAAATTATGCAAATTGAAAAGAGATTTCCTATTTTTTTTTTTTGAAAAGAGATTTCCAGGGGTTAAGGGGGGGGGTTCAGAGGGAAGTGAGTGTGCTGTATAAGGACTACATAAGAGATCTTTATGCTGATGGAAATGTTTTGTATCTTGTCTGTGTCAATGTCAACATACTGGTTTTGATATTGTAGTATAGTTTTCCAAGATGCTGCCATTAGGGGAAACTCAGTAGAGAATATGCTGGTTATGGTTATTTCAAAAGAAAAAGTATAATTAAAAAATATTGTGAAGGGGAGCACCTGGGTGGCTCCATCGGTTAAGCATCCAACTTTTGATTTAGGCTCAGGTCATGATCTCAGGGTCATGAGGTTGAGCTCCGCATCAGGCCCTGTGCTCAGTGGGAGTGTACTTGAGATTTCTCTTTCCCTCTCCCTCTGCCTGCCCCCTGCTCTGGCTTATTGGCTCTCTCTCTAATAAATAACTCTTTTTTAAAAAAAGAAAAAAATATTATGAGGATAAAGCAGAATGTAGAAATAGATGATATAATTAGTACAAATTATATATAACTATAATGATTTGTAAGTTTGTATAATTACATATGTAACTTCATTTCCTTACTCCATAAATCTCACAAAGTTGAGGACACCACTAACAACTTTATGATTTTTCAAAATATTTTCTGCACATTTAAAAATAAGTGTATATGGACACGCAGGACTCCAAGATGGTGTGAGTAATACCAGTGGTGGAGAAGAACCTCATGGATGTGAAAATAGGAGAGATGCCAGGCTGGATACTATTGTGGGATTTTCACTCCTAAGGGCATTGCTGGAATGTTTCAAAAGGGTTACTACTGATGTTTCAATAAGTATGTTAATGTGAAGAGAGGAAGTGTCCCTGGGATTTCTGTGGTACTGGCAGTTTATGTGCTTTTCAACTACTTCCTTTCATACAAGGAACTCAAACATAAACAGCTACACAAGTACCACTGGAGAAGGCCCAATATTGGGGGTGTATCTCACACCCCTGAACCCTTTCATATCCTAATTGAGAATTTTTTAAAATATTTTATTTACTTATTCATGAGAGACAATAGAAAGAGGCAGAGACATAGGCAGAGGGAGAAGTAGGCTCCCTGCAAGGAGCCCAGTGCAGGACTCTGTCCTGGATCCCGGGATCACACCCTGAGCCAAAGGCAGATGCTCAACTGCTGAGCCACCCAGGCATCCCCCTAATTGAAAATTAACGCTCCCTAAAAAGATGATTGGCACAGAAAATAAGTAAATAAAAACAAGCATGTATGACTGAATCACACTTTATTCAAACTTTCATATATGTAAACTTAAGTTATTTTTAGTATTTTTTTCTTATTATAAAGAATGCTATGATAAATATCCATTTATTTGCATTCATTTCTGTATCACTTCACAAAAGTCTTCACAGAAAAGAAGTGGAAGTGCAATGCCAAGAATTATAGGAGGTTTAAAATTTTGAAAACTAGTAAGAAATGTCCACTGGAAACAGCAGTTGGGATCTGAAGTGATGGAGGTCAGAAGTTCCATTCCCAAAGATGAGATTAGGAGCCCATGACAATGCCTAGGGTATGTCTGTTGACATACCTGAGAAAGCAATGCATTTCTTTTTACTATGTGCTGGAAGGTCAGAAGGTGCAAAATATGAATCATTATTACTGGTTTCCATATTTAAGTTAGGCAATACAAACATAAATCAGTAAAATGAACACGACCCACATTCCCAAGATTTCTGCAGTATAAAGATACAGAAACTATGTGGGTAAACATGAGTAAGTAATTATAAATTATGATAAGAACAATGAAGGAAAAGAATAGGATTTTAAGAATGGTAATAGTGACAAAAGGTTCTTTATTCCATTTTGCATGGTCCAAGAAGTCCTATCTTTGGAAGTGTCATTTAAGTTGGAACTTGAGGTTATGAAGAACCCATCTCAGCCAAAGAATATTCTGGGCACATGCACACACCCAAACTTGGCTTTCTCAAGGAACTGAAAAAGCGTCTTTGTGTCTGAAGCCCTGTGAGCTGGAGCAGAGGGGTGCAAGATGAGGCTGGACAGGTAGACAGAGGTAAAACTGTGCATTGGGTGTTACGGTAAAGGGCACCATTTTTAATCCCAAGAGCCCGAGTGTCATGGGCAGTTTTGTGTCCAGCATTCCCCATCTCCATGAATGGCACACCACCACCCGTCCAGTTAGTTGAGTTAGACAGCTCAAAGTCATTTTTGATACTTCCCTTTTACCGACACATCACTTTCAACTCGTCACCAGGTCCTGTCAAACTCACCCCTCAATATTCCTCGCACATGGTGCCCATCTGCACTGGCATCCCCTCGTCCAAGTTTCTCATCTTTTGCAAAAGCTTCCTAGTTGGCTTCCTGCTTCGACTCCTGCAGTGTGTTCTGGCACAGGAGACAGGGATTTTTTCACAATGCAATAATGATCATTCTCATTCTAAAAGCAAAATTCTTTTGGTATCTTTCCATTGTTCTCAATGTTAAGAATAAAATCCTGACCCACCTATGAGGTCCTTTAAAGCCTAAACTTGTTTTCCCCCCTTACTCTTATTTACTTATTTATGCCCTGGGCCGAAGGCGTCGCTAAACCACTGAGCCACCCGGGCTCACCCAGGGCATGATCCTGGAGACCCGGGATTGAGTCACACGTCGGGCTCCCTGCATGGAGCCTGCTTCTCCCTCTGCCTGTGTCTCTGCCTCCCTCTCCATCTCCCTCTCTCTCTCTCTCTCTCTCTCTCTCTCTCTCGGTCTCTCATGAATAAATAAAATCTTTAAAAAAAAACCTTCAAATTGTATACTTTCAGTATTGAGTAATTATATATCAATTGTACCTCAGTGAAGTTGTAAAAAGTTGTTCATAAACTGAGATATAGATATAAGCTGATTTTTTGTCAATGAAGTATCAAATAAACTGATTTGGGTCAATAAAATTATTGTATTTTGAAGGTAGCCCCAACTATTATAATATTTAAAAATTTGGAAAATATTCTTTGATCTAGCAGTTCAGTTTTGGGAAATCTTTTTTTTTTAAGATTTTATTTATTTATGAGAAACAGAGAGAGGGGCAGACGAACAGGCAGGGGAGGAAGCAGACTCCCTGTGAGGAGCCCGATGTGGGAATCCGAGAAACCGCCAAGGAGCCGACACCGATGCAATCACACGAGGGTTTATTTATAAGCTCGAGCCTGGGTCCAAGTATACGTGACACAGCGGAGCAGGGCTTGGACCCCGAAACCAAGAGGCTTAGCAACTTTATAGGGGCCAGTGGCCAATGGGATACGCAGAAAGTTGCACAGTCAGTCGTGCTGGTCCACTGAGCCGGATTTCCAGTTAGGGTGTGTCCTCGTCATTGACTAGGGCGGGGCAGTATCCCTGAGCCGGATTTCCGATTAGAGTGTGTCCTGGTCTTTGATTAGGGCGGGGCAGTGCCCTAAGTAATAAGCAGGTCAGCACAAGGCGGGTGCAGCCCAAAATAGTCAGTCCTGCTCTGCTTGTCCAGGGGTAGGGGATTTTGTTCAATTTCCTGGGTCCCACATTTCCCCCTTTTTCAGAGGATCCTATGCAGGACCCAATCATGGGTCCAGGTTGCTCTCAGAGTGAGCCAGGGGAATGATTAAACCAGGATTTTCACCAACCTTGTTGCTGTTCTTGCTCTTATTTACAGTTAAGGCAGCACATAACCCCCCCAACTCTTTGTTGTAAGAAGACTAATTCTAATTTCCTTCTATTTTGAAGGACAGCCTCGGACTAGGGAGTCTTGGAGGTGGGAAATAAGTGAGAACGGTGCAGTCTTAGCTTTAGGGGATTGTCCTTGTCTGGTTGGCTTTTCCATTCTGTAACAAAGTCCGTGAGAACGGTGTGTGGGTCAGCTGGCCGGACGTGTGTGTAGTGGACCCAGGGAGTATTCCCGTCGACCTTGAGAACAGTGGGAGAGGTCAGGATCACGAGGTAGGGTCCCTTCCAGGGAGGTTGAAGTGTCTGGTGTTGGTATCTCCGCACGTACACCCAGTCACCTGGCCGATATTGATGGGGGTCCGGCGGTGGCCCAGTCTCATAGAGGGCCTTCAGCTTAGGCCACACCTGCTCATGGGTTTGTTGTAACATTTGGAGGGAGAAAAGAAGTTGGTGATCATCAAATTCAGCAAGCCCCTCAGGTTTTAAATTGGGGATAACAGGTGGAGGAAGACCGAACATGATTTCGTAGGGAGTTAGTCCCATCTTATATAGGGAGTTCCTCACCCTATATAAGGTGAAGGGGAGGAGAGTCACCCAGTCCCCGCCAGTCTCCAGGGCTAATTTAGTTAAGGTGTCCTTTAATGTTCTGTTCATCCTCTTTACCTGTCCTGAGCTCTGGGGCCTATATGCACAATGTAATTTCCAATCTGCCCCAAGTACTAGTGCCACTCCCTGTGTTACCTTAGATACGAATCTTGGGCTGTTGTCTGACCCAATTCTAATGGGAAAACCATACCTCGGTATGATGCCTTCCAGCAGTTTTTTGGTCACGATCTGTGCAGTTTCATGTGTGGTGGGAAATGCCTCTGTCCATCCTGAAAAAGTATCTACAAACACTAATAAATACCTATACCCGTATTTTCCAGGTTTCACCTCAGTGAAGTCCACTTCCCAGTAGGCTCCTGGGCGGTCCCCTCGGAGCTGGGTGCCCGGGTTAGATCCATGGGCAGAGGCATTTGTTAATTGGCACGCACGGCAGCTTGCCACAATCTGTTCGATCTTTGCTCGAGAGTCTTTTTTTTTGCTCGAGAGTCTTTAATAGTGATCTTTGCATGTCGTCTGAGGTCTTCCATCTTCCTCGTTCCCATGTGAGTACTCCGATGCATTTTGGATAGGACTCGCCATCCTAGTTCCTCTGGCAAGATGATGCTGGAGTCTGCGGCCCTCCACCAGCCACGCAAGCACTGGGTCATAGGCTAGCGTTTGATCCAGTGTAAGTCAGCATCAGTATAGTTGGGGGTGTCAGGCAGGGTCGGTGCCCCCGGATCAGGTAGCGTGGTAGCTAAGACCTGGGTCACCAGAAGGGCCGCCTCTTTTGCTTTTAAATCAGCTAGCCGGTTTCCCCTGGCTACTGGCTTGTCTGCCTTTTGGTGCCCTGGACAATGGATGATGGCTAGGGCCTTGGGCAGCCAGAGGGCCCTCAGGAGTTCAAGAGTCTCCGTTTTGTTTTTAACAGTCTTTCCCTCTGCTGTCAGAAGCCCTCTCTCCCTGTAAAGGGCTCCGTGGATGTGAGTGGTGGCGAAGGCGCACCTGCTGTCGGTGTAGATGATTATTCGTTTACCTTCCCCCGTGGTCAGCACCTTGGCCAGTGCAATCAGTTCTACCCGTTGAGCCGATGACTCCGTGGTTACGGCTGCCCCCGCATATCTGAGTCCTTCTTGGACAAAACTGCTGCCGTCCGTGTACCAGGTGGCATCCGCATTTGGCAGTGGCTGGTCCTGGAGATCAGTTCTGATTCCGTGCACCTGGCGGACGGCTTGCGGCTGTGGGATTCTTAAGACGGTTTCCTTCCGTGCATCTGTCAACCATCTTTGTCCATCTTTTAAATTGTGCCCAAGGTAGCTCACCTCTGCTCTGCACATCTGGGCTTTTTTAGCTGAAGCCTGGTATCCTAGGGCCACTACGGTCTGGAGCAAGTCCCTGGTGCCTCGCAGGCATGTGTCCTGGTCCTCTGCTGCCAACAGGATATCATCTACATATTGTAATAAAGTTAAATGTGGGTGCTCGGAACGGAAAACACCCAAGTCTTCATATAAGGCCTCATTGAAGGTGGTCGGTGAATTTTTGAATCCTTGTGGTAGTTGAGTCCAGGAGAGCTGGCCATTGATGCTTTCTTAGGGTCCGTCCATTCAAAGGCGAAGAGGTCTTGGCTCCTGGGTGCTAAAGGCAGGCTGAAAAAGGCATCTTTTAAATCTAATACTGTATACCAAGTTTTGTCTGGAGGCAGGGTGGAGAGGAGGGTGTATGGGTTTGGGACTGTAGGGTGCATATCTTCTACTCGCCGGTTGACTTCCCTCAAGTCCTGGACTGGCCTGTAATCGTTAGAGTGCAGTTTCTGAACCGGCAGCAAGGGAGTGTTCCATGCCGATTGGCAGGGCCTTAATATGCCCGAGTCCAGTAGTCGCCGTATGTGGGGTGTGATTCTCTTTCGTGCTACTAGAGGCATGGGGTATTGGCGGACCCTGACAGGGTCTGCCCCTGGCTTTAGTTCTACGTATATGGCCGGTCGATGCTGGGCCAGCCCGATTCCCCAGTTTCTGCCCACGCTTGGGGAAATTCCAGCAGCCAACGGTCAATGTCAGTCATTGGTGCTGAGGGCATTTGGTGGAGACGATATTCGTCTTCTAAACTCAGGACAAGCACCTGAATCAGGTGCCCCTTCTTGTTTAGGACTTTTGCCCCTTCGAGGTGGAAGCAAATTTGTGCCCCCATCTTGGTGAGCAAATCCTGACCTAACAATGTGTAGGGACACTCAGGAATGATCGTGAAGGAGTGGGACACCCGGCCCGTGCCGAGATCCACAGTTCTTCGGGTAGTCCATGAGTATTGTTTGGTGCCCGTGGCCCCCTCCACCCATGAAGTTTTGTTTGCCAATTCCCCTTGGGGTTGTAATAAAACCGAATGTTGTGTGCCCCAGTGTCCACTAGGAATTTAACAGGTTGCCCCTCCACTTTAAGAGTTGCCCTGGGCTCGGGGAGGGGTGCTGAACCCTGACTCCCCTAATCGTCCAGGTTCTCCATTTCTAAGATCTTGGCAGGGGCCTTAGATCTTTTGTTAGGGCAGCTTTTTACCCAATGGCCCTCCTCTTTGCAATAAGCGCATTGGTTTTTGTTCAGCTTAGGGTGCTCCCAAGGGGGACCAGGGCCATCCTCCTTACCTGTCCCTGAAGCCAGCTTCTTGAGGTGCCTTCATCTTTCCTGTGGGTTGTCCATGGTTGTGGCCAGCAGGATCTTGGCCAGGTTTCGGGTCTGCCGGTCACTTAGTTTGGTTTGTTGTTCTTCCGGACTTTCTCTATTATTATAGACTTGTTCTACCACCATCACTAAGTCCTGCAAGCAAGCTCTTCTCTCCCAGTCTCTCTACTCTTTGTAATTTCTTTTTAATATCTGGAGCGGCCTGGTTAACAAAAGCCATGATAATTGCGGCCTTTGTTTCCGGGGCTCCTGGGTTCATAGGGGTGTACTGTCTAAAAGCCTCTATGACTCTCTCTAAGAAGGCTGCTGGACTCTCATCCTTACCCTGCCTCATATCATAGGCCTTGGCCAGATTGGTAGGCTTGCGAGCGGCAGCCTTGAGACCTGCCATTAGAGTCTGGCGGTAGACCCGGAGTTTCTCCTTACCTTCAGCTGAGTTGTAGTCCCAGGTGGGGCAGGATAAAGGGAAGGCAGCATTTATGAGGTCTGGGTTTTGAGATGGCTGTCTGTCCTCTCCCAGGACAGACTTCCGGGCTTACACCTGAATTCGTTCTCTTTCCTCAGTGGTGAAGAGAACCTGCAAGAGCTGTTGGCAGTCATCCCAAGTAGGCTGATGGGTAAAGAGAACAGTATCTAAAAGCCCGATTAGATCTCTCGGATTATCAGAGAACTTTAACTTTGCATTTTGGGTTTTCCAATTATATAAATCACTGGTGGAGAACAGCCAATATAACATTAGCTGTTCGCCAGTCTCATTGGGGGGCCCCATGGTGCGGAGAGGAAGGGCGGTGGAGTTGGCCGCCTGCATTTGGAGGTGGGGCCATCTGGTGGGTCCGACCGCGTGTCCCCGCTGCTGGCCCGTGCACAGGGACTCTCTCGTCAGGGAGGGGTGGCACCCCTTCTGCAGACCCTGATGCCTCCAATGGAGGGGCGGATGCGGGGAGGGATGACCAGTAGGGTGGCGGGAGAATCAGGTCCTCCGGGGAGGAATCCTGGAAAACCGGATGAAGGGGTGCTTCGGGCATAGAGTCGGTCTCCTTTTTGGCTTTCTGCAGGGCTAGAATATCCGTGGGTCCTGCTTTGGGGGGTAAAAATGGTTTTAGCCAAGGAGGAGGATTCTCGATCATGTCCTGCCAGATCAGGATGTAGGGAACCTGGTCAGAGTGGCCGTCTGGTTTGTCCCTGAAGATCACGGCCTTAACCTGTAGGATAATAGGTAGGTGAAAAGTTCCTTCCTGGAGCCATCCCATGTCAAAGGTTGGCCATTCTGATATACAATAAATTTGGAATCTCTCTCTCCGTATGTCTATGCTCAGAATACGAGCTCTTTCCCTAACATCCGAGAAGTGAGAGAGCATAAGAGACAGGGGGGTGGTTTCTGTCTCCCCCATTATGTCCCCAATCCACACCAAGACACAGACAGTAAAGACAATTAACAAGGACACAACAACACAGACAAATGCACAAACAGTTAGCAAGGACATAGTAACACAGACAAACGTGCAAACAGTTAACGAGAACACGGTAACAAACGTCCGGGCGGCCGCGGAGACAAAACAAAGTAACCTGAAGGGCTGGCAGCCGGCCCTCCTCACAGATGAGGACCCCGTCCTCCAGGTGGGGGCAAGGGACGTCTCCTCAAGATCCCCCGTCGACGGCCACCAGCGCGTCTGCCTAAACCGATGTCGACCCAATACAGATTGGAATTCCTACAGGTACAGGTACAGTGCAGAGCTCTCAGAGAATATGCACGCAAAAGGTGGAAAAAGTTGGGCGCACTCACCACACGTGAAACCCTCCGGATGGAGTCCTGGAGGTTTCTTGGATCTTGGACGAGCCCCCAAATGTTGTGCCCAAGATCGCGAATCCGAGAAACCGCCAAGGAGCCGACACCGATGCAATCACACGAGGGTTTATTTACAAGCTCGAGCCTGGGTCCAAGTATACCGGACACAGCTACACAGGGGAGCAGGGACTTGGACCCCGTGACCAAGAGGCTTAGCAACTTTATAGGGGCCAGTGGCCAATGGGATACGCAGAGAGTTGCACAGTCAGTCGTGCTGGTCCGCTGAGCCGGATTTCCGATTAGGGTGGGTCCTGGTCATTGACTAGAGCGGGGCAGTGCCCTAAGTAATAAGCAGGTCAGCACAAGGCGGTGCAGCCCAAAATAGAGTCAGTCCTGCTCTGCTTGTCCAGGGGTAGGGGATTTTGTTCAATTTCCTGGGTCCCACAGGACTCAATTCTAGGACCCCAGGATCATGCCCTGACGTGAAGGCAGACGCTAACCCAAGAAGCCCCTTGAAATCTTTTATGAAGAAATAAAAACATCAGTGCATAAGTTTATGTGTATAAGGATGTTTATTGCAGCAGTCTCTGAAAAGCCAAAAAAATAGAAACTATGAATTATGAATGCCCAACAATAGGGAAATTATGATATCTTAAATTGCAGGTTCTTTTTTACTTTTTAAAGATTTTTTATAGTTATTATCTTTATTTCAATATCATTTAATTGTAAGTTTATAAATGTATATAATTTTCTTTTAAAAAAATTTTATTTAAATTCAATTTAGCTAACACATGTTGCATTATTAGTTCCAGGGGTAGAATTTAGTGATTCTATAGTTGCATATAACACCCAGTGCTGGGATCCCTGGGTGGTTCAGTGGTTTAGCGCCTGCCTTTGGCCCGGGGCATGATCCTGGAGACCCGGGGTAGAGTCCCACGTCGGGCTCCCTGCATGGAGCCTGCTTCTCCCTCTGCCTGTGTCTCTGCCTCTCTCTCTCTCTATGTCTATCATGAATAAATAAATAAAATCTTAAAAACAAAAACAAAAAACACCCAGTGCTCATTACATCAAATGCCCTCCTTAATGCTCATCACTCAATTCCCCCATTCCCCCACCTTTCTCTCCTTCAGCAACTCTCAGTTTGTTTCCTATAGTTAAGAGTCTCTTATGGTTTGCCTTGTTCTCTGTCTTTATCTTATTTTATTTTTCCTTCCCTTCCTCTATGTTCATGTTTTGTTTTTTAATTTCTACATATGAGTGAAATCATATGGTATTTGTCTTTCTCGACTGACTTATTTCACTTAGCATAATACATTCTAGTTCCACTTTCATCATTGCAGTTAGCAAGATTTCATTCTTTTTGATGGCTGAGTAATATTCCATTATATATTTATAATATTTACATTATGTTATATATAATAAATATATCATAGTTATTTATAATATAAAATGAACAGATCAAATATTTATATATGTACATATACAATAATATATTTTATATAAAATTTATATAATATACGAAGTATTTAAAATTTTTGATATATTTATATAATATATAATATGCATAGTATATATATATCACATCTTTTTAAAAAAATTTTTTTAATTTTTATTTATTTATGATAGTCACACAGAATGAGAGAGAGAGAGAGGCAGAGACATAGGCAGAGGGAGAAGCAGGCTCCATGCACCGGGAGCCCGACGTGGGATTCGATCCCGGGTCTCCAGGATCGCGCCCTGGGCCAAAGACAGGCGCTAAACCGCTGCGCTACCCAGGGATCCCTATCACATCTTCTTTATTCATTCATCTGTCAATGGACATCTGGGCTCTTTCCATGTTTTGGCTATTGCAGAAATTCCTACTATAAATATTGGCATGCATGTGCCCCTTCGAATTCCTGGGTCGTATCCTTTGGGTAAATACTTAGAAGTGCAATTGCTAGGTCTTCAAAATGTTGAGGAAAACGTTTTGTCAACACATATTAGTCAGTTTCCCTCCCTCTCAAAACTTCCATACTGTTTTCCAGAGTGGCTATACCAGTTTGCATTCCCACCAACAGTGTAAGAGAGTTCTCTTTTCTTTTCTTTTTTTTTAAAGATTTTATTTATTTATTCATGAGAGACAGAGAGAGAGAGAGGCAGAGACACAGGCAGAGGGAGAAGCAGGCTCCACGCAGGGAGCCCGACGTGGGACTCGATCCCAGGTCTCCAGGATCACACCCTGGGCTGAAGGTGGTGCTAAACCACTGAGCCACCTGGGATGCCCAAGAGTCTCTTTTCTCCATGCTCTTGCCAACATCTGTTGCTTCCTGACTTGTTAATTTTAGCCATTCTGACCAGTGTGAGGTAGTATCTTACTGTGGTTTTGGTTTGTATTTCCCTGATGCTGAGTGATATTGAGCATTTTTTCATGTGTCTATTAGCCATTTGTATGTCTTCTTTGGAGAGATGTCTGTTCATGTCTTCTACCCATTTCTTGACTGGATTTTTTGTTTTTTTAGGCGTGGAGTTTGGTAAGTTCTTTATAGACTTTGGATACTAGCCCTTTATCCGGCAAGTCATTTGCAAATATTAAATATTTTATTTTTAAGTAATCTTTACACCTAACATGGGGCTCGAACTCTCAACCCTGAGATCAAGAGTCACAAGATCCCCAACAGAACCAGCCAGGCACCCTTCAAATAGATTTGTAAAGATTTGTGTTATTTACCTAAAGTAAATATCATGAGATATTGTTAATAAGTAAAGTGCACACCCTGAACTGACTCCACATTTGCAACAATATCTGGATAAGTTTGAATGGACAGGAAGAATGGAGTCAATATTAGTTGCTGTGAGGGCTGGATTGGAGATAATTGTGTAGGAGATGGTTAGCTTTTAAAAGTATATATATATATTTTTTTTCCACTGTCCACCTCATTTTTTTCCCTTGGCGTGAGCACATGTTGCTT